AAGACCTGAGTGAAGATCAAGAGTCAGATGCCTAACCGACTGAGCCATCCAGATGCCCCAAAGTAATTTTTAAATTAAATCCAATTCAAATAAAAATTGAGGAAGACGTGTTGAGGGGTGTGTGTGTGCACACATATATGCAAGCCAGGGAGCCAGCAAGAGAGATGTAATTTTAAAACTTCTCCTAGAAGTGCCTGTAGGGGAGGGAAAAGTTTTCTCAACCCTCTTGGGGTCCCTGGCTGGGTCTAAAAATTAAACTGGCAAAAACAGATTAGCAGGAGAAAAGCACACAAATTTTATTGAATGCTTACATGTACCTGGGAGCCTTCACAGAAGAATGAAGACCCAAAGAAGTAGCGGAGCAGGGAGCTTTTCTACGTTTTAGACAAAGAAACCACTTATTTGTGAAGAACTGACAAGGCAGAGGGGTTCGGGCTAGGGGCAGACCATGGTGAAGAAATAATTAGGAAGGTGGGGTAGGTTTAACAAGGTTTGTTTACACAGAATTCTTTGCCCCAAATTCCTGGTCTCTGGTGGTAAGAATTTCCATTCTCCTGGTACAGAAGGGCACCTTTCACATGGGAGTTTAATGACCTGTTTCAGGGAATAAAGGCAAAGGGGGAGGTCAGAGTGACCTTCCTCCTCCTGCCATTTTCTCAAATTCCTCCAGCTTAAGATATTCAATATAGTGACATATTTTAGGGTAGTACACCCTGAGCCCCATCATGTCAAAGGTCAAATAGTGAAGACAAGGAGCTCCTGGGTGGCTCAGTAGGTTGAGGGTCTGACTTCAGCTCAGGTCATGATCTTTCAGTTCATGAGTTTGAGCCCCGTGTTGAGCTCTGTGCTGACAGCCCACTTCAGATCCTATGTCCCCCTTTCTCTCTGCCTCTCCCCTGTTCGTGCTCTTGCTGCTCTCTCTCAAAAATAAATATTAAAAAAAAAAAAGCTTAAAAACTAGTGAGGACACTTGGACCCTCTTAAAGAGCATAAAGGAAGCATGTACTCTACCAGAGTCTGCCAGAGAACAAGTCCTACCATTTTCTTCCTTCCTTTCTTCTTTTTTTAATGTTTATTTTTGAGTGCGAGACACAGAGTGTGAGTGGGAGAGGGGCAGAGAGAGAGACACACACAGTCTGAAGTGGGCTCCAGGCTCTGAGCCACCCAGTTGCCCCAAGTCCTGCCATTTTCCATGGTCATCAAGGCACAGGCACAGGACAGGAAAACAGGTCAATATGACCTGAAAGAGAGCCCAGAAACAGACCTATTCATAGATGAACACCAGATATAGCAAAGTGGTATTACACCTCACTGAGAAAGAGAGGTTTCCAAAAATGGTGCTGGACATTACAGATACCCATCTACAGGAAAAGAAAAAGCTGGATCCTATTTTATACCATAAACAAAAATTAATGGTTCATCCCATTTCCCAACAGAGAAACTCAACTACAAGAATATTGTGGGGGCACCTGGGTGCTCAGTTGGTTAAGCGTCTGACTCTTGATTTAGGCTCAGGTCACGATCTCACAGTTTGTGAGATTGAGCCCCTTGTCCGGTTCTGTACTGACAGCGTGGAGCCTGCTTGTGATTCTCTTTCTCCCTCTCTGTCTGCCCCTCCCCTGCTTGCGCCCTCCCGCACTCGCTCGCTCTTGCTCTCAAAATAAATAAAAAATAAACATTAAATAAAAAAAGAATATTGTGGAGGAAATTTCCACACAAGAAACACACATCCACACCTACACATCTATCCTCCAAAATGAAGCTCCATTTCTTTCTCCAAAATATGGTCTTCTCAACCAAGTGTAAAGGTAGTTCTGAAGAAGTCTGATTATATGAGATATTCCAGATCAGTGATTCCTCAAACTTTCACTTTTTCACGATATCACATTAGTCCCAATACATTTTATCAGGTTTTTTCGGTTGCCCCAAACTACTGGACACTCTATGAATTTGAACCCTGGCATCCCTTCCATCTTTGAGGGAGGTCACAGAGGTGACTGTCAATTCAGATACCACCTGCACCGGCCCAGCTCCATCTCCTGTGTCCCCACCCAATGTCCCACACTGGCCACATAGACAAAGTCGATCCACACACACACACACACACGCCCCACCCATCAGTAATGACCAATAAGGAAGGAATGAACCTGTTCTGACTTATTTTTTTTAAGTAGGCTCCACACCTGAACTCACAACCCTGAGATCAAGAGTTGCATGCTCTACCAACTAAGCCAGCCAGGTGCTTCCTGACTTTATTTCTTACCGAACTCATGTTGAATCTGTTTCAATATCTTCACCTGAGTTTTCTCTTTTTATTGAAAGGAGGCTTAAGTTTTGTCCCTTCTTTCCTTTCTTCAGACTCCCTCTGATTCTAAAAGATGCCAAAAGCACACAGTGAAGAGGCCGAGAAACAGGAATCTCAGATTATTCACAAGCTAGCTGGTCAGGTATTTGGAGTCTTGTCCCTTTAGTGGCCGAAACACTGTTCCCCATGACTGGAGAACTACAGAAACTGCCCTCCAGCCTTGAAACAAGTGATTTCAGGGCGACTGGCTGGCTCAGTGGGCAGAGCATGTGACTCTTTGATCTCGGGGTCATGAGTTTAAGCCCCACGTCAAGGGGTAGAGTTAACTTGAAAACAAAAAAGTGATTTCACTTTTATTCATAAGAACGGAGGAAACCTCTCACTTTTAGCTCGCGTGCAATTCCCTCTGTATGGGACAACACCTTTCAAAGTGGCAAATTGCCAAGGGTTTTCTGTTTATTTTCTGCTCGATGGCATGGATGTGTGCCATTCCACTGCGAGCCTCCACTGGACGGCCCCCGCCCCAGGTGTCCTCTACCTGAGGAGCTGCCAGCGTCCAGAAGGTCTGCCTCTGTGGAACGGCCCTGTCACCTTTACTGAGCCTTGTCCATGCTCAGTACTCATGGCCAACCTGTGAAAGGCAGGAGTGTGGGGGTGCCTGGGTGGTTCAGTTGGTTGAGTGTCTGACTTCGGCTCAGGTCATGATCTCACAATTCGTGGGTTCGAGCCCCACATCAGGCTCTGTGCTGACAGCTTAGAGCCTGCAGCCTGCTTCAGATTCTGTCTCCCTCTCTCTCTCTGCCCCTCCCCCGCTCATGCTCTGTCTCAAAAATAAATAAAACATTTTTAAAAATTTATTAAAAAAAAAAAAGCAGGAGTGTGTCTCATACACACACATTTTACCATTTTGTCCTGACCTCCACCCCTGTCACCATCCCTCAAAGGGTGTCCTGGCAGAGAAACAGCCAGGCCTGGATTCATGGTCACTGAGGGGTATGTCACACTGTTTTCAGTTGGCTTTTAAACTGGATATCCAGGGGTGCCTGGGTGGCTCAGCTGGTTAAGCATCCAACTTAGGCTCAGGTCATGATCTCATGGTTCATGAGTTTGAGACCTGCATTGGGCTCTCTGCTCTCAGCACAGAGCCCACTACAGATCTTCTGTACCCACCCTCCTTTCCCCTTGTGTGTTCACTCTCTCTCAAAAATAAACGTTAAAGTAAATAAATAAAAAGTAAATAAGCTGGATATCCACTGTGGCACTGGGGAAATCATGGGCAAGTTTTCAGGCAACCAGTGTACAAATGGGCTTTTTACAACCAGATCTACTGGCAAGTTAAGAACCACCGTGAAGTAACTAAAAGGCAAATGCATTCAGTGAATCACGTTTACTACAGGACATTGTGTTTCCCTTGGGTTTGGAGGGCAGCAACCATCCCCCCAAAAGGTATTTGTGCAGGGTAATTTCTTAGAGCAAAAACAATATTCTGGATTTCAGAAATTTCTCTCCTAAAATAATCATGTATAATTATTTTAAGAGAATGTGAATCAGGCCCATGTCCATATGGTGCCATTATCACACTTCTAAAGACAAAAACACTGAGAAATAAAGCCCCAACCAAGCAGCTCTGACATTTACAGGATGGACTGGAGGCTGCCCGAGGGCCGCAGGCTCCTTTCCCCACACCTGGGGATACCCATCCTTTCTACTACCCGTGCCACCATGTTACCTCCCAGTATTACCGCTCCTGGCACATAAGCTCCAGTCCCAACCCACCACTTCCCCTGTGAGGAGGAAGGGAGGCACCAGGCAGAGAAAGCATTCAGCTAGAGTTCATGGTGAAAGTGGAACCCCAGATGGGTGGCAGGGACATCAACATCCATCACAGAAAAGGAAACACAGGGGCTCTGAAGAGACTCCCAGCCCAAACCAGCACTATTTTAAGCTGTTGATTTCATGAGAATCAGAGAACTGGCAGCAACCCTAAAAGATGGGGGGGGGGGGGGGGGGAGGGTTCTTATTAGTCCCACTGGCAGATATGGAAACTGAGGCCCAGAGAGGTTAACCAATCTGCCAAGGTTACACAGCTAGTAAGCTGTGGATTCCAAGCCATAGTCCAAGCCCTGGACCCCTGTGCCTGAAGACACATGAACAGGTGTGAACTTCACTCATCGCTGCAAATTAAAGGCAGTCCGGTATGTCTTACAACCCAGCAGGTGGGCAAAAATTTTTTAAAAAGATACCACCAGGGCACCTGGCTGGCTCAGTCAGAAGAGCATGCGACTCGATCTCAGGGTCGTGAGTTCAAGCCCCATGTGGGATGTTGAGATTATTTAAATAAATAAAACTTAAAAAGTTGATACCACCACTGCTGAGGGCTTGTTGTAGCCACCTGGTAACACCTATCAGTACTCCTGGGCACACACCCCTAGACCTCAGGCCCATCTGGGGCATTTTACCTCCGGACTGACATGCACATGTGCAAATAACTGGATAAAGGTTGTTACAATATTTTCAACAATAACAAAACATTAGAAACCATCTCAAGTCTAACCAAAGGAGAAGGGTAAATGCGCTGATAAACATTTCCAAGGCTGGACCTCAGCTGGGGGTAGGAAGGATGGGGGAAGGCAACTTCCCTTACACTATACTTTTTGGGAACTTTTGATTTTTGACACCAAATGTATGTACTCACTGTTCAAACACACACACACAGCACGTGCATGGAAAGGCCTGGAAGGATTCACATCAACGGGCAATAGCATGAGTCTAGTTTGCCTTTGGCAGAACCAGCTTCCCTTCATACAGTCTTCCTTCTTACTTGAATTACAGGATGAAATGCTTTCCTCCACATTTCAGGAACTGCAGGCCTGGTGATCAGTGGACCCACTGGGAGAGATGAGAAGACTCCTTCAGTCCTACCGCCTATCTGGCTGCCCCCAAATAAAGCCCCCTTGGCCCTCTAGCCTCCCCCAGGCTCTGTGTCTCTGGGGGATCTGGGAAGGGGTGTCTGGGCTCTTTCAACACCCAGTGGCTAGGCGCCTCTGCTCTCCAAGCTCCAGTCCTCACTTCTCCTCCCTCCTGCCTCAAGTCCTGCCTCCATCATCTGTCTCCCACCAGACTACTGATTAATGTGCTCGCACTGAGCCCTTCTTTTCCAACAACTTGGAATACCTTCTTTTTTATTTCACCCACTGGTAACAAAGTTCCCTAGAGCCAGGGCGTTGGGACACATCCTAGCAGAGGCTACTGGTTTCCTTTCTATCAACAAGGGGGAAAGGCCAAGGCACTATCCACACACCACTGCCCTTCTCACTTGAAAGGGTGGGCTCTAGACCCAAATGCCAACGGAAGTGGGAGGACAGAGAGTATGAATCTTAACCTGTAATTATTTAATTGCATACTAAAACGAACATAATGGGGGGTGGGGTGCCTGAGTGGCTCAGTCAGTTACACGCTCGACTTCGGCTCAGGTCATGATCTCGCAGTTCGTGAGTTCGAGCCCCAGCATGGGACGCTGCGCTACCAGCACAGAGCCTGCTTGGATCCTCTGTCTCCCTCTCTCTCTCTGCCCCTCCCTCCCCCAAATAAATAAACTTTAAAAAAAGTGTTAAAAAGAACATAATCGAACATTTGATGCCCTGTGTTGGGGCAAGAGACAGAAAAACTAGAGATGCAAAGAGCAATTAGAAGTTGGCCAGTGCTCAGGGGTGAGAGTGTGGCACCATGAGGGAACCAGCAGGTGAGGTCTGGAAAGAAACAGGCTGCCAGGCGGTGGTATGGGGCAGGGGGGAACCAAAGGTACAAGAGGGCTCAATTCAGACTACGCCACATATTTGGTGGCCGTGGAACCTCAAGCCAAGCTGTTACCTTATCTGTGGGTAAACTGCGATTCACAAGGAGGTCCAGAGAATTACACAAGATGTCATGTCATTGCTACAGTATGACAGAGGGTTGGCAAGGGTGTCTCCACACCTCATAAGCCCCAAGGGAATCTGGTCCTGATTGTGAGTCTCTGCAGGTGACAGATTAAGGGGCCCTTTCTTGGGTGTGGACGACAGTGGGCTGGGTCCAGGATTTCCATTTTACTATCACCAGCAGGCAGCCTTCCCAGGTGCCCCAGGGTGTCTATCACAGGAGGAATGGTGACTGCTTTTCTGAATCCAACTGGCATTATCCTCCCCAGAACCCTCAGCCCTTGGGTCTTGGCTGTTCAGAACTTTCTCCAACCTCCCCTGAGATCCTCCTGACAAAATTTCCACCCCCTAGAGGTTTTGCTGATTAGCAGATCTAACAAACATACAACCAAATGAATCTCAAATGAAGAGCATCAGAGAATGGTTTGAAAGCACTTCTATTGCTGTTTTTTTTTTTTCAGTGTTCATATTTTCTACAACTGTAGGTAAGTTGTTAGTGAAGTTACTTCCGGTATCTTAGATCTAACAGAACATGTGGAAAAGGCAAAATCAAAGACCCAGCAGGTAGAGAACAGATGTCATCACACAGTCAGACAAGCCCTTACAAATTGAAAGGGATAGCAATAAATAGCCACAATGGGCTTAGTTAACAATAGGGGTTTCCTTGCTTATCTGTGTTTTAATCAGGGCTCCAAGGGTAACAGAATTTGTGTTATTAGGGGCGCCTGGGTGGCGCAGTCGGTTAAGCGTCCGACTTCGGCCAGGTCACGATCTCGCGGTCCGTGAGTTCGAGCCCCGCGTCGGGCTCTGGGCTGATGGCTCAGAGGCTAGAGCCTGTTTCCGATTCTGTGTCTCCCTCTCTCTCTGCCCCTCCCCTGTTCATGCTCTGTCTCTCTCTGTCCCAAAAATAAATAAACGTTGAAAAAAAAAAAAGAATTTGTGTTATTAAAGTTTAGCATAGTAGCTTCTTGAAATGCCAATTTTATATCTTCCTGGCATTAAATCCACCCAGGCAGAGTCTATTGGCAATCTGACCTTGGCATTTAAAGCATTTCCAGCAGCTGAGTATTGGTTTTGCCAGCTTTGCGCATTGGAACAGCTCTGAAGTGGTTATAGGGCCACTTCATATAGGGCTGACGTGGTTATACATGCTACCGAATAACTAAGAATACTGCTTCTTCATATTCTAGTTTTCATTTATCAGTCTCCGAGGGTTTGGAAAAATGCAGTAAAACTCTATTGGCAGTCCCATTCCCTCTCCCAGCTCATCCCTGCCCCTCAGCATAGCAGTCCTTGTGAAACTTAGAGACAAGACAATGGGCAGGAATCAAAGAATAGGCATTACAGGAACACTGCTCCCAATATAAAGGGCTTTACACATTTCAGTGCTTCAAAACCGGAAAGATCTAATGTCTGGACTTCAGTTACAAGGGTGTATCCATGTCAGTTGTTCATTTTGGCAAATGCACCACAGCATTGTAGGATAGTAACAATGGGGAACACTGGGTGTGGGGCATATTGGGGCTGTCTGTACTATCTTTGCAACTTTTATGGAAATCTAAAGTTATTCCATAACAAAAAGTTTGTTTAAAAAGCAAAGGCTATTGGGGCACCTGGCTGGCTCAGTCAGCGGAGCATGCAACTCTTGATCTTGGGATTGTGAGTTTGAGCCCCATGTTGGGTACAGAGATTCCTTAAAGATGAAATCTTTGAGGCCACTATTCAGATTGGTAATTAAGATCAGTTTTTGTTTTTGTTTTTTTTATGTGCCCAATACAGGCCAGACCCTGTGCTGTAGGTCCATGGTAGGATATGATTTTGCCCCCGTGCTACCGTGGAGAGGTTCCTACGAGAAGGAAACACTCTAACCCTGGGAGGTGTAAGAGTCTAGGAGAGCCCTCAGTATTAGCATTCCTCAATTATGCCACTACTGCCACCCAAGAGCTCAGGGCCAGAAGTAGGGGAGAACAAGTGCAGGATTACTAAATTCAAAACCAGCATCAAACACAGCTCCTGGCATGGAGCAGGGACTCAGCAAACCTTTGTCACACCTACTAGATGGGAGCAGAGGTTGGAGGGTGCATGGGTGTGGGAGAGGGGCAGCTGGCTCAGATGAAACACCTGAAAGTGTTCCCTAGAGGAGGTAAGCCTCCTCTTGAGGCTTGGGTAGGAGTTTAGGAGTGAGGTGGGTGGAAAGAAGAATATTCTTGGCAAAAGAAACAACAGGTCAAAGTGTGTACGTTCTGACTACAAAGAAGAAAAAATGCAAGTGAACAGAAAAAGCTTGGGGGTGGGAAAACTGGGGTCTTCCAAAGTCATTATCTACCCAAAATGAAATTACAGCTCCCCCACCCCCACCCCTCCCTCCTGGAACATAGCGCATTATTTGGACATCAAAGATATCAGAGGCAGGCCTGGGGGAGGGGGACCCTACTTAGCAGGTTTCCCAAGCTAAGGCTTTTGCAAGCTCTACTTTAGTAAAATCCGAGTGCCACGAGCGGGGAACTGATACGGAGGACAATTCATTTTAGTCACGATCTTTATGTGGGCAACCTGAAAACACCCCCTCCCCTTTAATAAACATTCCTAGGAGACCTCTTTTGTCCTCATTTCCCTCACCAGTCACAACATTTTTTTTTTTTAAGAGGGACAAGCCTATTACACACCAGGCATCTAGTTCATTCCGTTAATTTTTTCGTGGCCGAAGTGGGAAGGAGACGTGGGGGGGGGGGGGGG